GTGGCTGCGCAAGAAAAGAGAGAAATTGTATCATTTTGTTCCCGGAATTCGGGCCCGTTTTTGGTGCCTTTAAGTATTGGGACATTTCTCTAAGCTCAGAAAACGGCCCCATTTTTGGGCCTGCACTTTGGTGCCGGGGCACTTTCGAGCCCGTTCTTGAACCGACTTTCTTTCATCCATCCACTTTGCCGACCCGTTTCAGAAATGAGAACAGATTTCTACTCGATCTGCCCGTTTTTTGGAACATCAGCTTTTTGGTTTCATTCTTTCCTGAGGACGCCATGCTTTTGTGGAAGCTCCCAGCTTCCTACACCATGGGTCCAGCTTCGTAGCATTCATCAAAGCGCTGACAGCATCTTACTCGCTTTCTTTACTGGGCACTACCGCGTTGCTGCGAGTCGCGGCTTGCCAGTTTTTCAGCCCGGCTTTTCGTGACTGCAGCTTTGACCTCGTGTCGGCTTTGCTTGGCCAAAAGCCGACAAGCCACAGACAAACGTTCCGGCAAGCCGAAAACAAAAAGTGCAGTGCGAGTGTTACTGTTCATGTCCACTTGTTTCGCTGTTCGCACTTCTGTTTGCTTCCGCTTTATAGTAAGTTGCTCGCACGCTGTAGCCATGTGTTAGTTGCGTGGTGTAGGACTTACCATGAACGAATTAAAACCTGGGTTGAATGCGGGTTGAACCATGACGTCTGGGCAGGTCACGGAGTCACGGCAACGGCAGTTTTTCATCCGACAGTCAAAGAAAACAAAGCTGAAGTGCAGTGATGAAGCTCTGATTGCCCACTTCCCTTGGGCAATTAATGCGGGCACTCATTTTAGTTGCTGCCCGCGACTTGTTCCAGCTTTTCTCACCTTTGCCTTCTCGCAGTTCATTATGTTGATTCGCTTTCGATACGGGCTTCTGCGACTCCAGCAGCTTTCACAGCAGCTTTGTTCGCTTTCAGGATCAGTAGCCTTCTGTGTTGTTGCATGTAAGACGTGCCTGAACACCGTTGATTGTTTTTGACAGCTTTTGAACAGCTTGAGTTTAGAAGCCCGTTGAAGGAATGCCATGACAATATTTTTAACAATGTCCCGACACAGTCAGCCAGCTGTTTAGCACTTGACGCGGTTGTGGTCGCAATCGTGAAACAACTGTCATAATGTATGCACGTGGCAACATGTGCTCATCGTGCACAAAGTTCCAGCGGCCTCTCGGGTGCATCAGCTCAGGCGTTGATTGGGATTTTGCGTTATTATTGGTTTGCTGGGTGCAGGTGCTGTGCAGCCAACCAAGACAAGGTATGCAACCACAGTGTGCGTCAATGCTCACAGCGTCATCGTCGTCACTTGTTGTTAGCGCCTGTCGGATTGTTACGGCAGTGGCTGAACGGCTTTGCAATGCGTTGGCCGCGCTTAACGCATACCGTCTCCACGTACGATCTCGCGTAAAGTATCAGGGCGGATTTGAAAAAAAGTCGCAACGTCCAAGGTTTGTGTCCCCCTCATTGTGGGCTTCTCGGTCACGGTCTCCAGCTCGCAAAGAACAAGTCTCTCTGCGACATGTGAGGCTGGCAACAGGAGGCCATTGGCTTTCTCACGAGTTGTGTTTTGAGGTCGTCCTGAATTCTAAGTCTAAGTTCGTTTACTTGATTGCTTAACGAGTGCTTGCAGGCTACATGGTTCGTTCTGATGCAAGCTGAATCACAAGCCCTAAACCTGGCATCGTCGAGCTTGAGCCTTAACGCAGAATTGATGCATCAAAGCTTGCAGGAGAGACCTTTCAAGCAGCAGAAGCTGCAGGGCTAGGCGCGGAGCTTTGAAACACGTCCCCGCGCCTTCGAAACAGTTGGGTTACTATGAAACGTAAGATTCTGCATCGATTTGCGATGGACACAATGGACACATGTCTGTTGACTTCTGTGCAGGGGCACTCCTGCTTCTTGTGGCACGGCGCCTATCTTTGCGACGGCGACATCGTCGACATCAAGATTTCCTGGAGGCTTGTGGTTGTAAATGTCGCGAAAGGCTCGAGTGCCACTGTTATATCCGTTGTCGGTGCTGTCGTTCTGCATGCCACGACTGGTTCTGCTGCTTCTGTTGCCTCTGCTACAGCTGATGTAACGCTGACGATGTGCCCTAATGCTACTGTTGCACACTAGCGTTTGTTTTTCTTTGTACTACCATTGCGACGACGAGTACGTTGACGCGTGTTAGTATCAGTATTAGTACCACTAGCTAGTCGTGGTAGTTGTATGCTAGTATTATTGCTAGTATGACCTCATCCTCCTCCTCCTCCTCCCCCCCATCCTAGCTTCTACAAGTGCTGCTGCTGGTACTACAACAACAACTACTACTAGTACTACTAGTACTACTAGTACTACTAGTACTACTAGTACTACTAGTACTACTAATACTACTACTACTACTACTACTACTACTACTACTACTACTGCTGCTACCACTGCTGCAACTGCTACTGCTGCTACTACTACTACTACTACTACTACTACGACTACTGTGTCTT